CCCCAAAACCCCAAAACCCCAAAACCCCAAAACCCCTTTATGAATTTATTAATATTTTAACAGGCTATTGACACAAACATGAAAAGAATTGGAACAAGAGCTAGCATTAGAGGATATGAAGATCTGGTTAGTAGAGAAAGAGAGCACAAATCTCCTCATATGAAAAGTAAGCGGGGATTATAGTTGAAGTATTGCCCCATTTTAGATGAAGAGGATCCTCAACTTGATTTCAATGAAAATTTTATATTTAATAGCATTCTAGGATATTTTTGAAAAAATGCTTTATTTCATAAAATTACTGAATTTTCATGGAATTTTTTTATTTAATGACCAAATTTAGAGAAATTAAAACTACTTGAAGATCAAGATGCTCCAGTTTATAATTTAAAGGTGCGCAAAGCCATAGATCTAGCAGAAAAGAGAGATCCAAGGACACCTTTTTATTGGAAGCTGACTGATGTTATTGAGAAGATCAAAGATTATGTTGGAAACAAAGAGCTCCTTCCTCCAGGCAATGTAAGCTTCATATTTTCGTCTAAAGACATTTTCTGACAGTTAATTATAATATGAAACGGTTAATTAAAACTAATAATTACTATAGTCGTTCATGGATCAAATTGTGGTGAATACAAACAATGTTAACAAAATAATGAATGAAGCTAAAGCCAAGAGGAAATAAAAGAGAAATTTATAAAATTATTAACAGGAAAGAATCTATGTTTGGTGGTAGATTATTCTCCAAAAATAAGCAGCCAGGAGTAACACATCGACTCAAAGAAGCTGTTACACCAAAATAAGGATTTAGATTTAGAAAGGAATTCAAAAGTACTTTCAATGCCTCCGGATTATAAAACGAATGAATCTCAGGATAAAACTAGACCAAAAATTTCACAAATGAACATGTCTAAGGTACTAATTACTTTTAAATTACTAGTCTCGGACAATTTTGACCAACTCAAGGAATACAGAATCAATATTTGATCCAAAGTCTTTACGAAAAATAAGAATGCTGAATAAGGGGCTTCCCCAACGAAATTTTCATCTCACCAATCAGAACCTGGTGACCAATAGGACAAGGACTAGTGAAAAGGTAATTCACCAAAATTATAACTATAGAAAACTAGAGATAAGAAGAGTTTGGTTGAAACATTCAGATCAATTAGAAAGAAATTAAGAATTAATGCTCCTCTGACCAAAGCTAGTGGGAAAAGTCAGGTTTATTTTAACAAAGCTACTAGTAAGCATTCTTTACTAACATGAATAGAGAATAGAGACATTCAAAAAGTTGAGATACTTTCTCATAAGCTAGACTCAAGATATCAACAGCTTCTCAGAAGTAAATACAGGCATCTAGAAAGCAGAGAGTCTGTCAGAAGAGATGTCCTAGGCTTCCAGAACAGAAATCTTACTTCAAGAGCTCAGAGGTATGATGAACTTATAATTTTCTAGTTGAATCCCCATAAGCCAGAGAGCCACCAAAGTAGAGTCAGCTAAGATAAAAAAGAAAATGAGAAAGGTATTTCTCTCATAATAGTACAGAAATGCCGGAGGAATCTTTCCCAGCCGTCTATGACAAGAGAACAACAAACAATTGGACTGGACTATAGCAAGCACATGATTTAATTTCAACTTAATTCAAAATTATAGGGGTTTTGGGGTTTTGGGGTTTTGGGGTTTTGGGG